AAGTAGATGAAGCTATGCAACCTCTATATTTCCTTGCAGTGATTGACTGAAGAATAGCCTAGTGATTGGGAAGTACTAGTAAAAAATAAAGGTACGACAGTGGCATCAAGTGAAACTAGCAATGGAGTTTCAACCCTTGGAAGTTGGCAAGACTTTGAATTCCTTTCCAAGTCTTGATCATTTAAATATCTTCCTGTCTTTTAAAATCCTAACAGAAAAGCTTGCTGTGGACTTTCTGAAGCTAATTCTCTTAGTAGTCTCACGTCTGCTGTTCTGCCTGTAACTTTGACAGTTACAGTGATACTTTTTTACTTGCTTCCAGGGTAGGCATTGGGGGAGTCTTCTTTTTTCCCCTCCCTGATTAGGACTGGTACATTTGGGAGGAAAATGCATGTGGTGGCTTAGCACTTATTGCTGTGTATCTGAAGTGGGTATTCCATTGGCTGTTGCAAGCCTGCTTGATGTTAAGAGACATTTAAACAAGTGGCAGGTGCAGTGTAGGGAAATGGATTTGTAAATCGAGTATTGTACAGAGTACGATGCTGTTAAAAAAAAAAAAAAGTGTACAACAGGCTGTTTCAACATGTCGATGCATTTCTTCTGGAATGTTTGGAAAGCATAAACTAAATTTCTATCTTGCCATGCAAAGTAGGTTCATTCAATATGTGACCTCAAAAATGCTTTCTGGAAATGCTTCATTTTACTTAGGTAAAGAAAATATATCTATGGGTAACAAGAGGGAGAAAGTAGTAGTATGGATGTCAGTCAAATATCCATCACTGTGAGGAGTTAATATGTGTATCTGCATTTCATTCTAATTGATGGGTCTGTCTGATGTTTGAAAAGCGTTAAATTGCTGATGCTCATGTGATGGAATGTCTATTGTCAAAGTATGGATGAAAACTGAGCCTCATCACTGCAGTCAGTTTAAAAATGATTTGTAGAGAATTGACTTTGAATGTTTGTATTAGAGGTCAGAGTTCCACTTAGAAGGCTCATGCCGCAGTAGAAATATCTAGAAGTGCCACGGAGATGCTTTAATATTAAATAAATGGTTCAGGTAAGAATACCAACTTAGCAATGATTTTGCTTTATTAAATTGGAAAAAAGTAACTGGAGCAAAGCGGCCAGGACAGTTTCTAAGCAAATTTATCAGTCGTTCAGAAACTCTGCATTTAAATACTTCTAAGTTATAGATCACTCGATCCAAACGGCAGCCCTTTATTGACGTGCAAGTACAATAAAGTGTTGCCCTGACTGAAATTTTGTTCTTAACCCAACATTCCAGTTTTGAAGTCAGACCATTGAAGTTATTGTATTTATACATCGTAGTAGCATTATTTAGATAGTAAGTAAGATGAAATCTCTGTACAAAAATGAATGTGTGAAACCACTGATGGCTCCAAAACGATTTTGAAGGACATTTATACGTATTTATTTTATAACTATTTGGGGTGGGGGGTATTCATTCGATTACTCCTATATTAGAGAATTATAGACATTTTAAAGGCATAAAATATTATTCAAATTAGAGGAAAGTTCCCTTGTCAGTACTGGAATGTCTTCTATATCCCTCTAATACATTATGGCATTAAATGATGCTTATTCTTTGAAACCAAATGGAGAATTGACATTGAGACTAAGTACAGACACAGTCAAAAAGCCTGGGGCTTAATCAATTCAATCTTCACAGGTTTTTCTAAACTGCATAGAATAGACCGATAATGAATGAACTGATGTTCACTTCTGAATCAGAAAGGCAGCCAGATGCCTGCAGTGGCCCAGACCAGAAGCCATGGGGCGCTAGAGCACGCCTCCTAGCCTGCTGACCATTGCTGAGGGCACCAGAATGCAGCCAAGCGGGACCCATCCTTAACTGGCTGCCCAGCATGTGCCCCCCGGAGCCTGCTGTCCCCACCCAGGGGGGGAACAGTCCCTCCAGCCCAGAGCCCAGCCAGCACTGAGCATCAGTCCACATGGGGGGATCCCTGTGCCTCTGGGAGGTTTCCCCCACCTTGGTCAGGGTCCCCCCCCAAGTTCTGTGGTTGGTGCAGAGGGGTAATCTGCCCCTGCTATCCCTCAGTGCAGTCCAGTGCCAGTGAGGGGGAGTGGGAATACCCCGTGAGGTGGTGAGGTCCCCCTATGTGAGGTGCTGGCTCAACCCTAGACTGGAGGGACTGTCCCCCCCCCCTCACAC